ATAATTAAGCGACAACGTTGCAGCCGGCTTTCTTATAACGTCAATGAGTCCTATCTGTAAAAGTATCTGATAAGAGTGGCTTAAGGGTATAATGTTCTGTATGCGTGTGTCGGCAGTAACATCCTTGAGATTCTTGTATACGTGCTCATTAGAACAGAATGCACGTAGTTTGGAGTTTAGTTTTGTTTAAACTAAAGCTTCAGATTTTCTCCAAAAGTCTTTTTCTTTCTAGTGCTCAAGTTTATGTATAGTTTGGAAACTGTGTACAAGATCAATCTTCAACAAGAGGCCGACTTTTGTCTGTGTTCATCACTTGAACTGATGTCTTCATTGAGTTTCTGCTCAAGCGGAAGCTTCTTTCTTTTATACATCCAAATGACACGACAGTATTTTCTAGGTTGTTTCAGGTATTAACTCCCCCCTCCCTATAAAAAGGAAGGTTTTTTTTTGCAAGCTCTTGTAGAACTGGCCAAAACTGGCATTTTCACCACGATTTCTAGATTTACGCTGAGGTTGGACCAGGCTGTGGCTCAGTTGTCTCTCTGGTTGTTGCAGTAGCTTGGGTATCACATCACATCACAGTTTCTAGCTATGCTTAAACATTAAGTTTAAATAAACCAAGGTTTGATATGACATGGAGAGGTGGTGGCGCCGAATATTGATCGGGGTAAAAAAAAAAATCATGTTTTAAATAAGTACACCATAGAGATGTGAGGCGCCACTGGCGGTTGTTTTCTTGCTTTTCGATTTTATCTGCTTGAAGACGGTTGTTGGATTTAGTTGATTCGATAACCGATCTCACGATCTTCTTATAAGCTGGAACAATGAAGACCTAGTTTATTAGAGTAAAAATTGTCTTTTTCTTATCCGCGGATCTTAAATCGCTTCTATTTTTCTGGTTCGAATTTGACGTTAATTTTGTTGTTTTTTAAGACAAGACAAAAGTTTCAGCTCATCAGCGTTTTGTTACAATAATCAGCTACTCCATTTTATCTAGTCACGAATGTTTTGTTTTTCATTCATAAGTCTATAAAAGAAGAAAACTCGTCTTTCCAAGCACATTTTTGATAACGTAACAAATCATGTATCTCTGATTATTTACAAAAAGGAGAGTTGTTGTTTGTTTTTTTTTTTAGCTTTCCAGGTGAATCTTATAATTACGAAACATTTCGGTTTCGTAATAAGAGTTATAATCACGTAGAGTTTCGTTATGCGTAATGCGAGCACAAACGCTTTCGCATATCACGTAATATGAAATATTTTTATTGTTTGTTTGTAATTCAGTACAAAGCTACACAATGGGTTATCTGTGCTCTGCCCACCACGGGTATCAAAACCCGGATTCTAGCATTGTAAGTCCGCAGACATACTGCTGTGCCAATATGAGCTATATTTTTATTACTTTAAAGAAAATTACCAACTGCGTACATTATCACTGACATCAAATGTTGCTGTTTTTATTTCTTAATTAGGAGCGTTTCCTTTTACGTTAGCTTAACGACAGACAGTTTGTTTTTGAATTTCGCGCAAAACTACACGAGGGCTATCTGCGCTAGCCATTCCTAACTTAGTAGTGATAGACAGCTAGTCAACACCACCCTCCGCAAACTCTTGGGCTACTCTTTTTACCAACGTATTGACCGTCGTCGCATTATAACGCCCCCCAAGGGCGAGCGTGTTTGGTGTGACAAGGATTCGAACCTAATTTAATAAAGTACAGTAAATTTATACGCTCCTAATACGACTGGTTTATGCTTTTATAGCTTCTACTCACGTTTTACGATTGGATACTTGTAGGTTGATATTTAAGACACATGTCAATTCTGCTAGAAACAAACTGAAATGAAAACATATACAAAACTTTGACGGTCTTACTTATACGGGACCCGGCATGGCCAGGTGGTTAAGGCGCTCGACTCGCAATCTGAGGGTCACGGGTTCGAATCCCCGTCCCACCAAACATGCTCGCCCTTTCAGCCGTGGGGGCGTTATAATGTGACGGTCAATCCCACTATTCGGTGGTAAAAAGATTAGCCCAAGAGTTGGCGGTGGGTGGTGATGACTAGCTGCCTTCCCTCTAGTCTTACACTGCTAAATTAGGGACGGCTAGCGCAGATAGCCCTCGTGTAGCTTTGCGCGAAATCCAAAAAACAAACAAACAAACCTACTTATACGGACATTTCTACTATTTTCACGTTGGTATAGGAAGTTCATTTCATTAGAAAACACTGCGAATTTCACTTATTGCGCTATTGAATAAACAAACAAGAACAATGCGTTTTTTTTTTCCTGGAGATAAAATTCAGTAACAATTAGTAACATTTACCAATAAACTAAAACAAACATTATTTTTTTACAGAATATTGGCTGTTTTTTCCCAGTTAGGTTCCAACCACGGTCGTATTACGTTATCAACTCAATCGTTTTATTCACACTATAATTAGATTGTTCTATTTTGAATTTTGCGCACAGCTACACGAGGGTTATCTGCGCTAGCCGTCCCTAATTTAGCAGTGATAGGCTAGAGGTAAGGCAGCCAGTAAGCACCACGCACCGCAAACTATTGGGCTACTCTTTTACCAACGAATAACGGGATTGACCGTCACATTATAACGCCCGCACGACTGAAAGGGGCGAGCATGTTTGGTGGGACGGGGATTCGAACCCGCGACCCTCAGATTGCGAGTCGAGTGCTTTGACCTACAGTCCCTCTAATTAGAGATATTTATTTTAGTAGAAGATATTTCCTGTTCCACGCTTTTTTTGACAACCTTTATCATAAAACTGAGCGACTGGAAACGAAAATTAGAAATTATCCGCAGTCCATTATTCTCCAACAGTGAGATGTATCGGGACTACCAAAACTTTTTGTGAAAGTTATTGAAGTTTAAAAAATGAGCATGTCCCATCTCACGTGTTTAACAACAGCGAACCCCCCCCCCCGCCAGTGGCACAGCGGTATGTCTGCGGACTTACAACGCTAGAATCCGGGTTTCGATACCCGTGGTGGGCAGAGCACAGGTAGCCCATTGTGTAGCTTTGTGCTTAATTTCAAACAAACACACAAAGTTTCAAAAAGGTGGTAAACAGGGGTAAATAGATAATATGAATATCAGATACGATAAAAAGGTAGCTGCATTATCCGTGATAGTAGTGTTGTCTTTACAGAAAGCTCAGACACTATCGTATCTTATTATTTTCTTCTTAGATATCAAAGTATTAGCCATAATTTAATGTTGCCCTTTTAACGCTAAGTCATAGAAAAATTTCTGTTCGACTTATCACATCACCGAAAGAGAACGTTTGTTTGTTTGTTTCCTTGTATTTTTAAGCACAAAGCTACACAATGGGCCACCTGTGCTGTGCCAAACATGGGTATCGAAACCGGTTTCTAGCGTTGTTAGTCCATAGACATGCCGCCGGGCCACTGGGGGCTATAAGAGAACGTAATAAACAATCCAGTTCGTTGAAAAGGCCTAACAGTATCATATAAGACTTATTCCTAACACTATTATATAAGACTTAAGCCTAACATTATCATATAAGACTTAAGCCTAACACTATCATATAAGACTTATTCCTAACACTATTATATAAGACTTAAGCCTAACATTATCATATAAGACTTAAGCCTAACACTATCATATAAGACTTAAATTGAAGTCTTCATTACGTATTTTTGCTCTACTGAACTGCATAAATTGAAAGAAGTTTTTAGCTTTTTTAAATTCAAATTACATTTTGGAACATTAGCGAATTACTGAAACAATAATGAATAAGGAGGTATATTCAAAAAATATACATACAAATTTCTGCAAGATAAAAACAAAGAATACTGCCTCGAATATTTCTGTATTATACTAGTACATATTTTTATTCATTTCCTTTCCTAGTTTAATGTGGTCACTTTTCTTCTTTAATTTCTTTTTCTTCTCTGTTTCTGACATTTAGTCAGAAACTTTTCCTTCACTTCTAAATATGGCAACAGTGAAAAGTCTACGGACTTAAAATGCCAAATCCGGGGTTCGATTCCCCCGCGGTGGACGTAGCAGATAGTCCAATTTGGCTTTGCTCTAAAACAGACAAGCAAACGACCTCGAAAAATAATTCAGTTAGAAAATAAGAAGCTTTTCACTTGACAAACTTTGAAAACCTTCTCGTTGCCGAAGTATACCCTAAATTTAGAAACAAAATAAAACCGTAAAGAATTATAACGCGTGACTTTTGAAAGCATAAGCAATACTGAAAACCAGCTGGAAACAGCTATATTGTGGAAACTCAGTAATGATGTTTCACGGTTCACGTGATTTGATCAGAGTAACTGGATCTAGGAGACACATACACATAAAAAAATAACTAGTGCTGCTGAACAAACTAATAATGTAACGAGTTTCGTTAAAAAATGCGTGATTTCCTGTACCTTTTTGTGAACCCCATACGTGAAACCGTCAGTTTTGTTAAAATGAAATAAGCGGAAGTTACGTCACAAATTAGGTACCGGTTTGAAACTTGTAGAGCACAACTTTAAAAAATTTGTGACTCTTCGAGCGTTGATAATTTCGAGGCGGGGGATCCGTAACTATTTCTGATGACTAAACGGAAATGACATCACTTCGAGAGTCCACCGTACTTTTAGTGTCAACTCAACCGTTACACTTCCCATAGGGGAAGAAATACCTTCAAGACAGGGGACGATATATTTACCCAGCTTTACTGTTGCCAGTAGCGTAAAAACTAACAGCTGTTGTATACGTGGGGGATCAAACCTTAGGGGACCACCAGCCACGGGAGGTACTAGAACTGTGGAGTGTGTAGCATTAGTGACGTAGCAGAAGTATTGACGGCCATAGCGAAGAGATCTACATACGAAAGAGAAGGGAAAAAGTCATTTTTCCAATTCACGTCAGTTGTACTGTTCCTGTATTTAGTGCGCGTTATAAAACTTAAGTAAAATAAATACCCTTAGTACATCACATTTATGTCTGTGTAGCACTTATCTTGTATATTGAAAATGAAGACTGCTCCGTCGTTAGAATCGTCCAATGTGACTTACTGAGACAATGTGTAAAGTGGAAATCATGCACTGGGTTTTTGTCTTATCGTTCTTGTACAGGTAAGATTCAACCCTTGAAACTATTAATACAGAATTATAAACTTAGAATAATAGAACGTCAGTATATATTGTGTGTTAATCGTTATCTAACGTTGTTACATACTCAGCGAAACAATACCGCCAAATTTATATGAAGGCTAAGATTGTGTGTTAATCTTTATCTATTGTTGTTACATACTCAGCGAAACAATACCGCCAAATTTATATGAAGGCTAAGATTGTGTGTTAATCTTTATGTTCTATACTGAATAACTGTGAATTTATTTGAATGCCTAAATTATTCCTTCGTCTTTATGTTTTATGCTCATTAGAATCACATATTGAAAATAGATCTGAAAGCCCAAATTACGCCTTCATCTTTGTACACAATATTCAGTAGAAACACAGATTGTAAGTTTATCTAAAAGCCCAAATTACGCCTTCATCTTTGTACACAATATTCAGTAGAAACACAGATTGTAAGTTTATCTGAAAGTCTTAATTATGTTTTTATCTTTATATTTTATAATCTGTATAATAATAAACGGTCATTTTACATGAAAGTCCAGTCATATGTTCATCTTTATATTATCACCTACTGGACAATTGTTTGAGATATTTCAATGCATCAGCTATGGCTGCTGGGCCTCATTTAATGGTTTTATATTTAATAGTTTATAGCTGTGATGAAATGTTCATAAAAGAGTAGCTCAAATGTAAACCGAAAAGTCGTCTTACAAGATTTTTACCATTGAATCATTAGGTTTGTTGAATTTCGCGCAAAGTTACTGCAGGACTAACTGCTCTAGCCATCTTCAATTTAGATGTAATAGACTAGAAAAAAGGCAGCGTGTTAACATCACCCGCTGCCAATTCTTGAGATACTATTCATCAACAAAAGTGGGATTTATCGTCACCTTATAACGCCCCCACGACTGAAAGAGGCAAGCATGTTCGATGGCGGAGTTCGATCCCGCGACTCGCAGGTTGCGTATCAAGCGCCCTAATCACCAGGCCATACTAGTCTTCAATCATTACTATCTTACCTATATATATTATTAGTTTCATAAATGATAACGTAAAATGATCAAGATTTTATTTATTGTAAAAAAAGTATTTCAAGAACCACCAAAGCGTTTTCACCTCAGATTATCGACTTGTTTACATACAGTTCACTACCGTCGGGTTCCACGTAATGAATCATAGAGTAAGTTTAAGTGGGTTCCACGTAATGAATCATAGAGTAAGTTTAAGTGTAATGAATCATAGAGTAAGTTTAAGTGGGTAATGAATCATAGAGTAAGTTTAAGTGGGTTCCACGTAATGAATCATAGAGTAAGTTTAAGTGTAATGAATCATAGAGTAAGTTTAAGTGAGTTCCACGTAATGAATCATAGAGTAAGTTTAAGTGAGTTCCACGTAATGAATCATAGAGTAAGTTTAAGTGGGTTCCACGTAATGAATCATAGAGTAAGTTTAAGTGGGTTCCACGTAATGAATCATAGAGTAAGTTTAAGTGGGTTCCACGTAATGAATCATAGAGTTAGTTTAAGTGGGTTCCACGTAATGAATCATAGAGTAAGTTTAAGTGGGTTCCACGTAATGAATCATAGAGTAAGTTTAAGTGGGTTCCACGTAATGAATCATAGAGTAAGTTTAAGTTTCTCTCTGTCATAAACCTCGGTATAAAAAAAGTAAACGAAAAACAGTCAGGGTTTGTTTGTTAGTAATTAAGCACAAAACTACAAAATGGGCTATCTGTGCTCTGCCCACCACGGCTATCGAAACTCGGAGTCTAGCGTTGTAAGTCCGCAGACATACCGCTGTGCCACTGGGGGGCAACAATCAGGGAAATCAATCGTTTTCCATGTAAAATACATAGATAACTTCGGCGGTAATTAGTGAGATTATATTCAGAATTGGCGACTTGCTTACATTTTTTGTGTGACTCATACGATATTGGGAATCCTGTGTGTGACTCATACGATATCAAGGATCCTGTGTGTGACTCATACGATGTCAGGAATCCTGTAACCAGAAAAGTCATTGAGCCACATGCATAAAAGCATGTTTAAAAAAAAACAGGTACAGACCCATATCGATAAATCTACTATTTGTTTGTTTTCGGATGATCAATTTAATTTTAAGCTGATGCACTAGAGGGAAAGCAGCTAGTCAGCAGCACCTACCGCCACCTCTTTGGCTACTCTTCTCTGACCTAATAATGCACTGGGCCACACCCGGCTTACCTGTAGGATTTATTGCAGTTAAGAAAAATTTCATCATTAAAATGGCAGCTGGAAACGTTTTGTAAAATTCCTAAAATATTTCAGTACAAACTTATGTTTGTTTGTCTGTTTGTAGTTAAGCACAAAGCTACACAATGCGTTATCGGTGCTCTTCCCACCACGGGTATCGAAACCCGGTTTCTAACGTTGTAAGTCCGCAGACATACCGTTAGGCCAAACTTTTGATATCTCTATAAAAAGAACCGTTTTAAAAAAAATTTTAATGTGTTGTAACTTATAACGTGTAATGCATATTAAAATAGCCTTTGAGGAGTCCAATACGTAAATCATTCTCCATTGAATACAATCATTTCAAAGTCCAAAAAATGAGGTCATCAAACTCTTGATTTATCGTTGGAATACGTGTCTTCTAAGGATTGCCTTTCTTACCCAATACGTTTTTCCATTGATATTATTGATTTCAATAACTTAACTATGCACGAAAACTCCCAAGTAAAGAATAAATTTTCCCGCTTTAACACAAACGTGATATAACGTAGAAGTTTCGATTTTTTTTCATTTATTAGCCCCCCCCCCCCAGTGGCACAGCGGTATGTCTGCGGACTTACAACGCTAGAATCCGGGTTTCGATACTCGTGGTGGGCAGAGCACAGATAGCCCATTGTGTAGCTTTGTGCTTAATAATAAACAAACATTTTATTTATATAGATCACTCCTGTTTTACAGCCCAGTTTTTAAGGTCTCAATTATTGGGTTTCCTTCGGGATCTAAAAATTCTTCTTTTCTGTAATTATGAAACCTTCCCTCGGACTTACAGACCACCAGTGATTTACGGCATACAGATTGGAAACCTCTGTACTAGAGAGAAAGCAAACAGACCACAAAATTCACTGTCGAGACTCTTGTGCCGCTCTAATCGAATATTGAGTTTTGTTCGTCAATCTTATAGGGCATCCATGGCTCAAAAGTACATTACACGTTTTTGCATCAACGAGACGCGAACCATGGATCCTAAAATTCACGGTCCTGCTCGCTAACCACAAGGCCACGACGCTCTTTCCATTTTAAAAGGGTGTTAATATTTGTCTATTTGTAAGTTATCTTCTGTACAAGACCTGACATAGCCTGGTGGTTAGGGCCTTCGACTCGCAATCTTAGGGCCGCGGATTCGAATACCAGTCACTGAATATGCTCGCTCTTTCAGCCGTGAGGATGTTTTAATGTGACGGTCAGTCCCACTATTCATTAGTAAAAAGAGTAACCCAAGAGTTTGTGGTGGATGGTGTTGACTAGCTCTCTAATCTTCCCTCTAGTCTATCACTGCTAAATTAGGGGTGGCTAGCGCAGATAGCCTACGAGTAGCTTTGCGCGAAAATCCGAACAAACTAAACCAAATATTCTGTAAAATTAAAATAAGGATATCCCGAAAAGATTTTTTATCAACAACAACATAGTATTTGTTCAATTTTTTATTTTTCTTCACAGTAAGATTAATGTGACGATCAGGTGCTATTTGTGAGGAGTCGTTGGTACCTTTAAAAACTTGTAATTAATTTCTTTATTAAAAAAAACAAAAACATAAAGACACCTTAATGTTTCTTGGCATGGCAAAACAGTTCAGCGTGCTGAGTTGCAAATTGAAAGGTCCAAGATCCGAGCCGCGATGCCGTTGAATATATTCTGCATTTGTGGTCACATTATAAGAGTAACTGTCAACGCCGTTATTCGTTTCCTGATAGCAGGGAGCACTACTGAATACTTGCCTTTCAAGTTGAAAAGCCCCCCCCCCCCGTGGCACAGCGGTATGTCAGCGTACTTACAACGCTAGAATCAAGGTTTCGATACCCGTGGTGTGCAGAGCACATATAGCCCATTATGTAGCTTTGTGCTTAATTACAAATAAACAATCAAGTTGAAAATGCCATATACTTGTATATATATACGAGGTTCAAAGGGCTACCAAGGTTTAACCTCTAGCGTTATGATAACATCAGTCAGTGGCCCGGCTAAATTAGGGACGGCTAGCGCAGATAGCCCTCGTGTACAAAAATAAACAAGCATCAGTCAAGTCAAGTTTAAACATTACAAATCAGTAGTTTCATCTCTCTCATATTAATCCTGTAGTCATTATTTATCTTCTACACCCCCTTCTCTCGTAGCAATGACCCAAACCAACTTTTTTCTCGCTTCAACTAGTGTGAAACGTGTAAATAAAATATAAAATACGTGAACTTGTTAGCTTTCTCAGAGCAATCTCAATATTTTTCGGTTCAAAGGATTAAGTATCTGCTCAGTTCGTTGCTCAGCTACATAAATAAAATAAGCTTTGGTTGCCATTGCACTTGGGTAATCTTATGAAGTTTATGTAGTTTGTATAGCTTGTGTTGTTTTTCCAAACAAAACTTTTTTATCTTCTGTTTGCTTAAACAGGCAAAACAAAATAATTTACTTTTGTGTTTGTTTGTTTTTTAATTTCGCGCAAAGCTACACGAGGGCTATCTGCGCTAGCCGTCCCTAATTTAGCAGTGCAAGACTAGAGGGAATACTAGAGGGCTGGGCTAGTCATCACCATCCACCGCCAACTACTGGGCTACTCTTTTACCAACGAATAGTGAGATTGACCGTCAAAATTATAACGCCCCCACGGCTGAAGGGGTGAGCATGTTTGGTGGAACGGGGATTCGAACCCGAGACCCACAGATTGCGAGTCGAGTGCCCTAACCACCATGCCGGGCCTTACTTTTATGACTATCCCATGTTATTCATCGGTTAAGTTCGACCTCTAAACTTCACATTTCGGGCCTTACTTTTATGACTATCCCATGTTATTCATCGGTTAAGTTCGACCTCTAAACTTCACATTTCATTATTCTAGGATGCCCTGGTCATTTTTCATAGTCTCAACTAATCTATATTACATGCTTCTTACTAACCTTTGTATATTACAGATTATGGAAAGGTCCGGGTAATATTGAAAGTTGACATATGACAACATAAGCATATTAAATGCTTTCTCAAAATTTCAAGAGCTCGAGATTTTTGATAAAATAGATTCGCAAGGCGGATTTCGGAAGAAAAAAACAAAACCATTACCAAACAATTTAAGAGGCTAGATAGTGCTGCGTAAAATGTAAACATTTTAAATGAATTTGAATCCCATAATTTGTGGTGTTAGGGAATGCTGATGTGACTGTCGTATGGTTACACCTCCCTGGCTTCGCTTTTGCTTATTATTGAGCGTTCTTATGGTCATAATCTCAATATTAATTATCTTCAATATGTTTGAATTTTGTTATTTCATAGGACAAGAACCCCCTCCCCCAATCCTAATACGTAATAGGTTGGAAATAGAGAAGAATAAAGACTCCTGGCTCTTAGTTAACTTAACCTAGCGTGTATTTTCTCAGTGCACGAGAATGTTCCAGAAACACAGTTCTTATTTGTACACAGAACTTAAGAAATGTATATAGCGTGTACGTGTGTTATCTTTGTTAGGTTTATTTAATTGTTTATTACGTTATGTAGCGTGCCTTGATCGTTGTTGATGGCTTTAAAGCTTTGACTTTTTTCAGTGTTAGATTTTGTACGGGACAACTAACATTATTGTTTTTGGGATAATAAATAGCATTTCGTTGATTAAATAGAGAATAAGTGTTTCTTACTTTTTGATTGATGGATAAACATCCACGCTAGCTTATCGAAAGACCTCTCCAAACCACAGCTGGGGAATAAGGCTAGTTACGCAATCTAAAATGAATCATTCCCTGTTTGTTTGCTTTTTTTTAGACATCGTTGTTTTCTGGTTCTGTATTTTCTCCTCTCTCAAATTATTCGGTATCTTAGTGGTAATGCTTAGGACTTATAACGGGATTCAATACCCGCGGTTGGCAGGATACAGATAATTCATTGTGTAGATTTGATTTTAACAACAAACAAACTCTCCATCAACGGCCAGACGTAGCTTAGTGGTTATCTGCAAGGACTGTAAATCCAATGATACAACAGTTCGCAGCTATTTGCTAGGACTGTAAATCCAATGATACCACAGTTCGCAGCTGTTTGCTAGGACTGTAAATCCAATGATACCACAGTTCGCAGCTATTTGCTAGGACTGTAAATCCAAGTAATACCACAGTTCGCAGCTATTTGCTAGGACTGTAAATCCAATGATACCACAGTTCGCAGCTATTTGCTAGGACTGTAAATCCAATGATACCACAGTTCGCAGCTATTTGCTAGGACTGTAAATCCAATGATACCACAGTTCGCAGCTATTTGCTAGGACTGTAACTCCAATGATACCACAGTTCGCAGCCTGTTCTCTTGTTGCAGACAAAACTCACTCAAAACAACGGAAGAAGTGGATATTGGATACAAGTTCATTTTCTTTTCACGCTTCATGGGTTAACAACACAGAACTAGTTTTAAAGTCAATTCAGTCAGCGTGTTCAACAGATGGTCTTAGTTTTCTGTAGACTTATTCTGCCGTTTTTCTTGATTTAACATAACGTTTTTGGGCTCCATACTGAGTCGTGGAAATCGAGCAAAACGGCAGAAGCCTATACCTTAAAATCACTAATTACTTGATACAATTAACATACCTCGTAATTTAGATACTCACTAAAGCCTGTTTGTGTGTTTAAACGCAAAGCTATCTACGCTCTATTCACCACGTGGAATCGAATCCCAGATTTCAGCGTTTTAAGTCCATAAACTTACTGTTGACACACTAGGGTGCCCGGCATGGCCAGGTGGATAAGGCGCTCGACT